TAGCTAGACATGGAAAAAGAAAACAAGTAATTGAAGCCATAAGACTTGCAGACGGAACAAGCAGAACGGTCACAGAGGCACTAGAAGTACCAATACAACTCGGGACACAAACAAACACAACAACACTATTAGTCCTCGACGAGGTGATCGGAGACCTACTCTTGGGAATAGACTTCTTAGAACAATGCAACGCTAAACTAGAATGCAGAGGCATCACAGCGAAAATTTAAAAAAGAAGAAGAGGAACCAACACAGAAGCAAGAAACACAAGAGACACGGCATCGGATCACTAGAAACAGGGGATTTAACAGACGCACAGATCCAAGAGACCCTCAAAATGATGATGAGCCAAATCAAAGGAGTAAGTCACATTGCAAGCCACAAAATATTCATGAAGCACGACCGCCCAATTAAACAGAGGTACTTCCTTCGAAACCCAGCAATGCAGTCAATAATAAACAAACAAACCTCATAGAACCCTCGCACTTCGCCTACTGTTCGCCAGTGGTAATCGTGGAGAAGAAAAACAAGGAATGGAGACTTTGCATAGACTATAGGCAACTGAACGAGCACTCTGAGCGGCATAGCCAGTACCACGAAAGGATCACATTCTAAACCAACTCCGCGAGGCAAAATACATAAGCACACTGGATCTGAAAAGTGGCTACTGGCAGATACCGATGGACGAAGACAGTAAACAGTACACTGCCTTAACGGTACCAGTACGCTGACTGTTTCAGTGGAAAGTAATGCCCTTCGGATTACACACAGCACCAGCGACGTGCCAAAGAGTGCTGACTCAGTCATCGGACCATTCGCGTTCGCATACCTGGATGACATAGTGGTAATCGGACGCACGAAACGGGAACACCTGGAGAAGCTACAGGAGGTAATGAGGCGACTCCGCAAGGCAAATCTAAAGATCAACACAGAGAAATGCCACTTCTTTAAGGAAGAACTGAAATACCTAGGACACGTAATCAGCGTAAGAGGTATACACACCAAACCAGAAAAGATAGCCGCAATCCTCAACATGCCAAGTTCACAAACAACGAAGCAAGTACACAGCTTCCTAGGGGTGGCCTCCTGGTACAGAAGATTCTTCCCGAACTTCGCTGAACTAGCGCAACCGCTGTACAACCTGGTCAAGAAGGGGGCAAAGTACAAAAGGACCGAGGAGACAGCAGGGCGACAAAAAACCTAAAGAAAGCCCTAACCGAAGCACCGGTCCTGGCTTGTCCGGACTTTGAAAAACTTTGTACTTCAGACGAACGCCAGTAATTACGGACTAGGAGCAGTACTGACCCAAGAGTACGAAAACGGAGAACACGACTGGCATATGAGTCGGAAGCTGACAAAAACAGAACAAAACTACTCGGCTACCGAGTGGCAATACACTGGGGCATCCAGAAAATGAGGATGTACCTGGAAGGGTACCACTTCGTCGTTATCACGGACCACCAAGCACTTAAATGGCTTAACTCGATCGAGAGCCCTTCAGGACGGATTGCCAGATGGGCATTGGCAATGCAGCCATACTCATTCGAGGTATGCTATCGCAAGGGCAAGCTTAACGTCGTGGCAGACGCATTATCCCGAATGCTCGAGGGAGAAATTCACGGAGCCGAAGTAGAGGAGCACGAGTGGACAAACAGAAACTCCTTGCAAAGAAAAAGAACCAGAAACATGGCCAGATTACGCATTAATAGAAGGAAAACTATACAGACATCCACCGTCATGGGCCGCAGACGAGGATACACAATCGTGGAAGCTATGCGTGGCAAAGAACCAAAGGGAACGAGTGCTACGAGAAAACCACAGCGAAGCTACAGCAGGCCACCTAGGAGTTAGAAAAACGAATCATCGGGTAATGACATCGTACAACTGGCAAGGGATGCACAGAGACATACAACAGTACGTACGCCGCTGTGAAACATGCCAACGATACAAGACCTCACAGCAGCAGGCAGCAGAGAAAATGCTAACAGAAATAGCAAAAGCACCCTGGGAAACACTCTGCATAGACTTCGTTGGTCCACTATCGAGGTCTAGTTACGGCAATAACATGCTTCTAGTAATGTTCGACAAGTTCTCCAAGTGGGTGGCGCTAGCAGCCGTCAGAAAAGCAATAACAGAAATTGTATTAAAAGTTTTACGGGAACAGATCCTCACACGATATGGTACACCGAAAAAACTCATCTCGGACAACGGGGTACAGATAACGATTAACAAGTTAAAGGCACAGTTACAGAAATGGGAAATCGTCCACCAGTTAACAACCCAAGCACCGCGCAAGAAAACCCAGCCAAGAGGGCAAATAGGACAATAAAAACTTTGATAGCTCAATTCTCCGGAACCGAACACTCACGATGGGTCGACTGGCTACCAGAAATAGCAACGGCCATCAATAGCAGCAGGTCAGAATCAACAGGATACAGCCCGGCGTACCTAGTATACGGACGGGAAATACGACTACCTGGGAGCCTGTATAACGAAACCACACCTGGATCCGGAATGGAATCCGGATAGAGGCAAGGTTGCAACACATGATAGAAACGAGCAAACTAGCACATCGGAACATGGGAAAAGCAGTACAAGACCAAGCCAGATCATACAACCTACGGAAAAGAGACTGGGGACCCAAAGTAGGAGATCTCGTATGGGAACGACAACACCCATTGTCAAAGGCAGCTATTGGGTTTGCAGCAAAGTTAGCACCGAAATACGAGGGCCCATTTAACGGGTGACGGGTTTCATTTCAACAGTTATAGCGACAATAAGACATACGGCGACAGGAAAAACACACAGAGCATACGTAAACGAACTGAAACCTGTAGTAGAGAACGAAGTAGCTTAAAGTGATATCTCCCAACTAATCACCAAAAGCATTGCTTATTTCAGAATGGACAAGAAAATGGAAAACTCCCTAAAAAAATACCGGGAAAACCTGGAAAGCCTAAACCAGCAGCGGCGTCGAGCCATCATACTCGGGGCCGTGGACGTGGCAGGTCCAGCTGGAGGCAGAAGAACAACCAGGGCGGCACCGGTCGCAAGACAGGCACCAGCTAGAAGAGAAGATACCAACTAATGGACAGACAGCGACCACAAACGGCATGGGTGAAGCCAACCTATATAGGGACCTGGGAGTTGGTCCAGTGGATCTATCCGAGGAGTCGGAGGAGAATTGGGATGAGGAGTGCGGAAGGACAGCAAAGCCACTTATCGACACCCAACACAAGGAGAAGGTTGCGGAAGCCGTAGCCCTCCTAAAGTCCACCTGACGCCCAGGAAGTCGAGGGACCCGGAGAATGACAACTGGAGAACTAGCAACAAGGATCCGGATCGAGAGAGGTGGCAACGTCAGCGTGACGAGGCACGTTTAATTGAGTCAAATAACCGGCAGGCTATAATAAATACGCAGACGCAGAATAAAATTAATGAATTAACAGAGGCCGTTTATAAAATTATCAAGGCAAAACAAAATAATATAGTTGACACTTCCCACCTGTACGAAGTACTTTTGGCCAGAAACAGAATACTAATAACTGAGATTCAAAACGTAATGCTTACAGTCACTCTTGCAAAAGCCCACATCATAAACCCAGCAATTTTTAATCAAAATGATTTGAAGTCTGTTTTTGTTGATCACCCCACAGAAGTCCCCATCATTAGCCTACTAGAGGCGTCTAACATTAGAGTCCTTCAGTCCAATAGTATAATCCATGTGCTAATCGCATACCCTAAAACTAAAACTATTTGTAAAAAAGTCATGATCTTCCCTGTATCACGCCAACATACCATCCTGCAATTGAAGGAGAACATAGTAGCCGAATGCAATAGCGACGTCTTAGCAGTCAACGGGCATGGCGGCATCCCCGTTACTCAACGCCACAATCCCACACTAAGCATGCCACTTCTCCAAAGAATTAACAACAAAACTTGGAGGTTATCCAAGGGCTTAAGGAGGAAGTAAAATCGGCAGGAACTATCGACAACTGGTTCGCGGTCGGCTTGGGAGCCAGTCTTCTCATCAGCTGCTCCTTCCTACTCATCATGATGCTGAGGAAGAGACGAGACGCACGGGAGATCCAACAAGTTGTTGACAAATTCCAGATGACCGAGGACGGTCATATTCCTAAGAGAGTTCTTAACACTGTTAAGGAGTAATCATAAGTCGATACAGATCTTGGGTGATTATTGGATCACCCAAGTGTTTAGTTGCAAAATCAGCATAAACATCTTTAGGGGCCGTGCCTGGTTCTTGGCAGTGCACGGTATGGTGAGTTATGTTGATTTTGCTAGTGTCAGCACTTTGCTGCACGAGCGGTCGGCTTGGCGGCCGCGCATAGCTTACGTAAAGTCATATATGTTTTCAGTTTTAATTTGGACATTTAATAAAGAGCATTGGCTTAAATGTAAAGCTCCGTCAGTGGCCGTCAACACTTACTCTATTAATTGAAATTGGTTATCGAGCCTTAAGGGCCGCAAGCAACGGAGTCAGTTACTCCCAACGTAGTCTTCGTAAGAAGAGAGAAGAGAGCCATTGGCAATCGCCCGGCACATCCATATGAGCAGCCAGCCACGGTGGCAATTACGTCTTCACCCCTTCCCCCGGACCAGCCACGGTGGCAATTGGATCGCAACTCTTCACCCTCACGGACAGCGGCGAGGGACAGTGCGAGGCTGCACAACTAAAACATAATTTATACACAGCAGCTTACGGCGCGTGCTTATATTTGCGGTCGGAGACCTATGGCAACGCTGAAGCACATCTACTCTGCGCCAAGTCTAGAGTAGCTCCCTTAAAAGCTTTAACAATAACAAGATTAGAACTTTCAGCAGCGTGTTTATTGGGTGAGCTTATCGTAAACGTTAAGGAATCCATATGTTTTTATTGCACCTTTCACTGCTGATCGGACTCTATTGTGTTGGCTTGGATTCGGCAACCTCCGAGGGAGTTCAACGTATTTGTGTCTAATAGAATCGCGAAAATCCAGGAAATGACGAAAGGTATGGCTTGGCATCATGTTCCAACAGACTTGAATCCGGCGGATGTGGTATCGCGCGGATGTACCCCCAAAGAATTGCTGGAGCACTCCCTTTGGGCAAATGGACCTCCATTTCTACTGAAAGGAGCGTCGAACTGGCCCTCCCTATTAGATGCAGTAAGGAACCTTTCGGAACGGCGTTCCACGGTGCTAATTGGAACCGTTGGCACTGACATATCTATCAACTGCAAGTTTCTCAACTCATTCGACAAGTTGCAACGTGTTTTCGCGTTCATTTATCGATTCATTTCAAATTGCAGAGCCAAATCATTACCTTCAACCATCTATCTTACCGTTGACGAGATCAGCTTCGGAACCGTTCTGCTTCTAAGGAGCATTCAACAGGTTCACATAGCGGTGGAGCATGAGGTTCTTAGCCAAGGCAAGCCTTGTCCTTCGAAGAGCAAGTTGATTTCTCTGAGGCCAATACTTAGCTCTGAGGGTTTACTTCGTGTTGGTGGAAGGCTTCAAAATGCGAGCTTGGACTACGAGGCTAAGCATCCGATATTGTTACCCAAGGATCATCCGGTCACCAGGGCGATTATCGTCTATTATCATGAGAAATACTTCCACGCAGGGCCACAGGCGTTGCTCGCTGCTTTACGGAAAAGGTATTGGCCACTTGGAGGCTGAAAGTTCATGGCTAGCGTCATCAACAAATGCAACAGATGGGTAGCCTGCCAGCAGATCGAGTTCAGGCTAACCCAGCATTTCACACCACAGGAGTGGACTATTGTGGACCGTTCTATCACAAGTCAGAGGCCCGGAACAAAGCACCCCCAGTGCTACATCGCCGTCTTTGTCTACTTTTCGACGAAGGCTGCGCACTTGGAAGTCGTCCAGGATCTCACAACGGATTCTTTTATTGGAGCTTTGAGAAGATTCATTAGCCTCAGAGGCAGTCCACGCACTATTTGGAGTGATAATGCGACAAACTTTGTTGGCGCTAAACGAGAGCTAGCGGAACTAAAGGAGTTATTTTTGAGCGAACCGCACACGGCTTCGATAAGTTCTTCCTGCTTAGCGAATGGGATTGATTGGAAGTTCATACCCCCGCGTGCCCCACATTTCGGTGGTCTATGGGAGGCGGCTGTAAAATCGGCAAAATTTCTCTTCTACCGAGTTGTCGGTGCAGCCATCTTAGCCCTTGATGAATTAAGAACACTTGCATATGAAATTTCTGCCATTCTTAACTCCCGTCCGCTTTGTCCAATTTCAGAAAATGCTGAAAATTTTGAGGTGCTAACGCCAGCGCATTTCCTCAATGGTTCCAGCTACACAAGGTTTTCTGAGCCATACGTTACTCATCTTCGCGAAGGCCGGTTAAGCAGTTGGCAAAGAATGACACAAATGCAGCAGAACTTCTGGAAAAGATGGAGCAGAGAGTATTTGTCCCTGTTGCAAGAACGAAGCGAATGGCGGATCAAAACATCCAACATCCAAATCGGTCGCGTTGTATTGCTTCAGGAGGACAACCTTCCACCGATGAAAGGGCAGCTTGGGTGCATCCATGAAGTCATACCCGGAAAGAACGGCGTCGTCAGAGAAGCTGTGGTCCGGACAGCTACAGGTCTTACCAAGGGCCGTCACCAAACTAGTCACTCTGCCCATCGAATCCCATTTGGTTGGAACCGTGCCTCTTCCAACGGGGGGAGTATGTTTAGAGCAGACCGCCAGCACCTAGTAAAATGTTCATAGGTGTGCGCTGCACATGCAGGGCTGTTATACAGCTTTGCATGTTTATTGTTCTACGTCTTTCTTATCTCGCTACATTTGTCGCGTTATCTATTCAGTTGAGCTACAGCGAAAACATGTACAAAATTTAAAGTCAAGCTTTCTGCAAGTTACTTATACAAAATCGCTGCAACTCCGAGCACAGCTAATAAAATCAAGAAATAATTTCAATTTAACCTATCGTGCGTTTAATTTATATTTCTAAACTAAAGAATGGCATTTTGGTTATTTTCCCCATAAACATTAACATTAAAAATAATAAATTAAAATTAAAAAAAGAATTAGCTTGTGCCCTTTAAATAGTTTATAAGTTCGTTTCTAAAGTGCGTTTCGTTTCTTATACTTTTTATATTGTTTGGGATAAACAGCCTGTATGAAAAAGTGTTTTTCCGTCATCGCCAATTTTAATCTTTTGCAGACAATGTTGTTTGTTCTAGCTTACAAAGCCAGTAGCACATGTTCAGTTAAGTACTGTGGCTCTTTTTTAGTCAGGAGTTTTGCAGAAATAAGAGGATTTTTAACTTAATCCATGACTCAAAGCTAAGTTCCAAAATCTTATTTGAGTAGCATATTATGTGCTCCCTGCGGTTTACATTAAAAACATATCCCGCAATTGAGTTGAAGGCAACTTTTAGTTTTTGTAGCGCTTGGTGCAGCTGCAGATGGTCCAACGCCATCTAGATACAACGTAAGAATCGGTGGCGCCATCTAGATCTCGGTGGAGAGAATCGGTGGCCTGGCAGGGTTAGATCAATCGGGGTAACAGGGCGAATTGTCAGACTTTCTCTGGGTGAGAGAATTTCTCAATTTAGGTGGAGAGATAGGCTGTCGCCTTTATTGCGGCGTCACTAGCCGCCATTCCTAGTTTGGCATCCAAAGTGATTAGTTGAGTCAAGAAGTGGTGTTTAAGATAAAATCAAAAGTAAAAATGCTCAATCAGCAGAGGCAACCACCAACAGCAGCAACAGGTATCACGGCAAAGGAGCCCAAAAGGAAGATCCAAGTGGGATTCCGGCCAAGTCCAGGGGTGAGTGAGAAGCGAACGAGGTCTTTTAGATTTTCATTTTATTGCATAGGTGTTGGCCAAAAGGTACCGCCCCAAGTCCCAAGAAGCCACATTATTAATCGGCGAAGGCAAGCGCAACCTGTGAAATCGGCGAAGGCAGGCACCAGTTTTTTTTTGCAGTGCTATGAAGCCACCACAGCGGAAAAGCCACCAAAGATCGCCGCTCCAAAAGGAGAAGGAGAAGACCACGGACGGAAGGCCGGCAGAAGCATAAAAGAAACCGGCGATCAAATCAGTGTCCGGCGGGAGAGCAAGCGTTTCGCAAAAGTCGACGATGGCGTTGAAAGTTTCGTCGTGCTAAGGAAAGGAGCGTAATATTTGCCCATAGTTTGATCTTCAGCCCCGAGTAAAGTTTTTTCTATTCTATTAATTTTCGGTATACAAATGGAGTGAGTAATCTAGTTAGTAAGTGAAAACAAGGAATGTGTGGTGATTTTGGAGTTTATTTATTGGTAGCTTTAAAAAAAAATTGAATTAGGCTTGTACTAACAAAAAAATAGCCAAAGAGGAGCGAGCGTTCCTTTAGCGGTATCGGGAAATGTTTAAATAAATAAAGTCTTATGTTCCTCCCAAACAGCAGACTACCATCGCCGAAAGCGCTTTCATTGATGGATGCTTAAAGGAAATTGGTGAGTGATGAGCTCAAGAGCGCATTATTAACCCAGTATAAATCCAAATATTAACCCTATATGAATGTTCCTATATTGCGTATATTTATTCATTCGAAGCAAATCTCTTAGTAATTTTGTTACAAAAAAAAAAAATAAATAAATTATACGCTACCGTTCGCTAGGCCCCTTTGAAAAAAAAATGTAAACAAAAGCAAAAGAACCAAAAGAATTTTAATGCATTTATATGTTTGTGCGAACGCAACCCAATCGCCGTTTTAAAGTACTTTGCCTTAAGCAACTTATTTGTCAAAGATGAATTTTATTGTGTCATGATTTTACGTTAATTTTATTCATCGAATTTTGATAACATTGATATATTTGTAATTATTATTTATATTTACCGTTATATACGTCAGTGCATGTCGATTCCAATATTTATTTATTTATTCACCCTAATTTTAATGTGTATTTTTAAGAGTATTATTTCGTCTTAGTTTTAATAAATATGTTTATAATGTGAAGCAGCGAGTGAAAGAAACACGTGTACTTGTGGGTTAAATAATAAATGCCCTTTTATTATCTAAGTTATATTGACGGTTGATACATAACTCGCGTGATCTGCGGCTTGAAGCTGACTGACTTATATGTTAAAAAGGGGTAGAGTCGCGTTTATCTACACTTCTTTAGGTTATAAATGAGGGAAGAGAGATAAGCCGTTACTTTTAAGCTTTTACATATGATTCTCATCTCTTTATGATATTGGGCATACAGAACTGATCATATTTGCTTTGACATTTGTTGCTTTGATTTACATTACATAGTTTCAACACGCCCTCTACAAGTTAATTTTAAATTTCAGCGACGCACAGTGTGGGAGTCTTACAGTTTAGCTGTACAAAAGTAAATTTTTCAACTTTAACCAAATTCGTCCAAATAATTTTTTTTTAATACTTTATTCAATGTATATAATTATTATATAAACTATTTTTCTAGTCGTTGCGAAATCTGTTTCTCACTTATTGTAGAACAGTAAAATTCCGTTTTATTCAAGTACTGATATTCTGCGAAGTTCGAAATCAAATTGTTTTTTTCTGCATTTCTTTTGTTCATAGTTTCATCAAGGTACGATAATCAAAATTAGAGCTTTATTTAAACGGTACTGCAAGCACAATCCTTATCTAAGCAACAGATCTTTTTCATTGGGTTTTTTTCAATTGACTTTTGTGTTTAAAGGAGAAAAAATTTAGTTTCTTATTAAAGTTTGAGCTCGAAGTTGAAATATCGTGCGTATTTTTGCAGCACCCACCCATTTTTTTTATTTTTCAAAATGTCGACCCAACTAACGAAAAAACAAATTTATGATATTTGGATTGCAAGTGATAAGAACAAGCGTTTGCATGCGGTTTGTGATTTTTTTTGGAATTATCATCCTTTAGTTAAATTTTCTGAAGGCTCTAAAAAAGAGTTTAAGGCTTTTCTAAAAAATCTGTGCTTACAATTTTAAATAAAATGGAATCAATGTTATCGTTATGAGGAACGGTTTTTAAAAAAAAATAAAATCGGGTTGAATGGTAATTTGAATTTACCATTCACGGTATTGCAAGAAATTTCTCTTACATCCAAGCCAGGGAGACCACAAAAAAATTTGATTGCTGCGATCGCACCAAAAGAAGAAAGGTACAAGATCTTATTGATTCTACTAGCCCTGAAAAAATTGCAGTTGCAAACCAAGTTAACCTATTTAAGGAAGGTAAACGCAACTCTGCTGCAATTGTGAAGGAATTTACATTGAATTCTCCAAATAGAGGAACCCAAATACAAAATGTTCAAAATCAAAATTTTACTGAATCATCTATACCTACTGAAGAAGCGTTGAGTATGATTCAAGATGCTAATTTATCAGTTCATCAATATGACACAATACGCCAAAGGATTAATAAAATCGTTAAAAATCTTTTACCTTCCTATGATAAAATTAAAGAGTGTAAAAAAGATTGTTATGCTGAAGTGACTGTAACAGAGTCCTTAGCAGCATGTAACGTTCAATCCTTGGTTGATAATACTATCCAGCGATTATGCCTAGCTCAAAGAGAAGCACTGAACTCAATAGAACATCCTAAAATGGGTGGAAAGGAGCTATCGTTGATAATAAAATGGGGTTGTAATGGAGCGCAGCAAAAAAAGTATAAACAGAAATTTTCATCATCAGATGGTATTGATGAAAACCTATTTAGCACATGCATGGTTACTATTCAAATGAATTATAATGTTGATGAATGTAAAAAAATCATAGTTTGGCAAAATCCAGCACCTTCATATACAAGATACTGCCGCCCAATTAGGCCGAACTTTAAAAAAGAAACCACGGAATTGATAAACGAAGAAGTGACTTTGGTGAAAAAAAAATTGAAATGCTTCAACCTGTTAAAATTATAGTACACAATTTCTATGTAATGGTGAAACCAGTGTTTATTCTGACCATGATAGACGGCGAAATTTGCAGTGCTTTATCTAACGTAGCGTAAACTCAAACATAGGGTCAGGGTTTCCTATAACTTAGCGACTTTTGATGAATACACGAAAGAAACCAGGAAATTGTACCTTAAAGAATACTCTTGGTACAACATGCCCGTCTCTGTCCATAAAGTAATGTATCATGGAAAAGATGTCATAGCATCATGCATTCTTCCAATTGGACAGCTATCGGAAGAAGCGCAAGAGGCAAGGAATAAGGATGTTAGAAGATACCGGGAAATGTTCACCCGGAAAACAACAAGAACAGATACCAACACCGATCTTATAAATAGATTGTTAGTATCTTCGGATCCATTCCTTGCCAACTTGCGAAATATTCCCAAAAAAAGTCGGTGTCCACTAGAACACGACGTTTTAGTATTATTGTCCCTACCAATCGCAAATGAATAAATACTTTTTATTGTTTTCTAATGATTTTTTTTGTTTTAGTCATTTTGGATTAAATTATATTTTTCTATATGATTCCAATAAAATAATTTTGTATTTCAAATAAAAAAAAAATAAATAAAATTGATAAAAAACCAACGTTTAAGTTTAAAAATAATGTATTTCATTCAAATAAATATCGAAACAATTAAATCCCGCTAAATTTTGATTTTCCCACACTGCGCGACGCCTAAAGATCTTAAGCAGGTTTTGTGCTTATCGTGGCTAAGACCCTTAGTCAATTCATCTGCTGGCATAAGTTCGGTCGGCAAGTGCTCGATT